GGTAGTATAATGGGTATGGCAGGAAAGCACTAGTTTTTGCCTGAGTTTATTATTATAAATAGGGCTGAGCATCGGTCGGATTCGGACGGATCGGGTGTCCAATCCGTCCATCCGATCGGATTTCGGATTTCTTTTGTACCCCCCTATCCGTTTATTTTTTTGGACAGATCCAATCGGATTGCTTAGGTTCGGATTTCGGATATCCGTTGTCGGATTTCGGATTGAAATCGGATATAATAAATTAAAATAAAACAAATTCTAAATTCAAAAAATTCTAAAATAGATAATAGTAATACTGAGTTTCATTACCATAGTGTAGCAACTAGCAAAACATACTACTATACAACTATAACAGTTTCAAACTAAGTTAATAATTACATATTTTCAACTAACAAAACATACTACTAAGTTAATGATTATACAAAAAATCATAGACTTGAGCTGTCAACACCGGTACTCTTCAGTTCTTCTTTCAGCAATTCAGCAAAATCAACACTAATATAGTCATCTAGATAATCTACTCTTCTTCCTGCTAGTATTCAAACTTAAAATGATATTAGTGTTTAGAGTTTAGAAAACAGACAATCAGACATTTAGAGTAACAATACTAAGCAATTATTCACTACGCAAAGTGGCTCAGAGTGCATTTTTCCATATCAAGTAAGAATGTGGGCAAATTGCTCTGAATGTGTTATATTAACACATTGGCAACATACCAACTCCATTCCATTTATTCAGACAATAGTGGAAGCTTCATCATAGCCACCAAATAAAACAAATACATTCAAACTGAAAACAGAGCAAGGAAGAGTTATACCATAATTCCAGAGTGCAGAGAAATGGGCAAAATTGGGCTCAACTCATCTAATGGCAGCAACAAATCAATAACAGAAAGTTGCCAAGCCACTTAGAGGCTAAACACCACTTGCAACAACATGAGTACATAACATAATATCAAACTCAGTAAAGAAATGAACACATTGTAAACTGATATTAAAAACATTACAGTGATTGTAGGCAACATTGATGGTATAGTAGATGAAGCTCCAGTGGGCAATTCTGCAAAAGTGAAAAACATAACAAGTAAGAAAGAAAGTGAAAAGGAAATAAACTTAGTATAATAAAAAAAAAAAGTAACTAAGAAAGTGATAAGTGTTACCTTTCTCTAATCTTTCAACCTCCTCCAGGTTCTCCTCAACTTGGATTGGCTGATTAGGTGCCCTCAACCAATCTTGAGTACATATTAGTGCTTCCACTATTTTAGGAGTCAAGGAACTCCTAAATGGATCAAGTACCCTTCCAGATGTACTAAAACAACTCTCAGAAGCAACTGTGGAGATAGGAACTGCAAGGACATCTCTAGCCATTTTGGAGAGAATAGGAAATCTCTCACTATGGCTCTTCCACCACTTTAACACATCAAATGGGACAGATTCATCATCCTCCACAATACTTTCACTTAAGTATACTTGCAGCTCAGTTTGCTTACTGCTTCCACTACTTTCCAATCTCTTTTTTTTAAGTTGGCTCTTCAAAGATGATTGAGGCCTACCAACTGTACAAGTAGTAGCCTGGTTAGCCTCACACTGGACTGCTTGAGTAGAGGATGCTGTCTGGGTAGAACTGAGAGAGTATGTAGCTGCATAGTCATCATATAAAGCAGCCATTGCAGATTGGACCTTGGTAAAACAAGCTTTGCCTTTCTCTTCTCCATACAACTGGACAAATTGATGAGGCATGTACTCCAACTTATCTCTGGGATCCAGAATATTGGCAAAAAAAATGATAGAGTTCATTTTTTCTGGATCCCCCCAATATTTGTCAAACTTGTTCCTCATTTGTGTCCCCATTGCCTAAAACAGAAAAAAAAAAAAACAATTTATTAGTTAACAGAATTACAGGAAATACAAAAAACAATAAGCAAACAAATTGAAAGATAAATGAGATTACCTTTTCAGTCCCCTGCTCAGAGTTCACCATATCTTCAAGCATGCAACTAAGATCAGAGATCTCAGAGAAGAATGTGTTAGATGTGACATAAAGTGAACCAGAGATCCTCACTGTCATATCATAAAATGCTTTCAACAGCTTCACTAAGCTTTCCACAGAACACCAATCCAAGAAGGTAGGAGCACTCCCCAAGTCAGCAGAATAAGAGGGGTCATTTCTCTCATATGCATCAAACACTACTTGATATTGAATTGCAGTGTTGAGCATAATGTAGGTGTTGTTCCACCTTGTAGGGACATCAAGATGCAAAGCTGATTTAGCTTCCACACCAAACAGTTCAGCAAACTCTCTGAACTTTGTCAGCCTAGCTGGTGAGTTCCTAACCCATCTCACTGCATCCCTCACCCTCTTAACTGACTCATCTGCAAACTTCAACCCATCTTGGACCACTAAATTGAGGATATGGGCTATGCACCTCATGTGCATGTACTGAACCTTAACAGAAGAAGAACCCCAAGATAACAGTTTACTCTTAAAAAACCCCATAACTGTGTCATTAGAGGAGGCATTATCCACTGTTACAGTAAACACATTCTTAATTCCCCACTCTAATAAACAACTCTCTAGGGCTTTTGCAATGTACTCCCCCTTATGAGAAGAAACTGGGACAAAGGATATAATTTTTTTTTGAAGCTTCCACTGGTCATCTAAAAAATGTGCAGTAATGCACATATAGTTGATTCTCTGGACAGAAGTCCATGTATCTGTTATTAGACTAACCCTTTGAGTTCCCACTCTAAACAACTTCTTAAGGTTTAGCCTCTCATCAAGAAATATTTGGTAGATGTCCCTAGAAATGGTCCACCTAGAAGGGATAAGAAACCTAGGACAAGCAACCAGAATAAACCTCTTGAACCCCTGGCCCTCTACAAACCTAAAAGGGAGCTCATCTATGATTATCATCTCACAAAGGGCCCTCCTAATGGCATCTTGATTAAATACCCATGTCCCCAAAACACCCACAGGAGCCTCTGTTCCACCCTCAGAAGTGGACAGAGTGTTGAATGTGAGTAGAGACTGCCTTATATCCTTTGAATGGGGATTTTTAAGAAAATTGCCCATATGATTTCTTAATGATGATGTGCCATGTTTTTTAGTTTCACAAAAATACTCTTTTGCACAGTAAAGGCATTTGCCTTTAAGCACTTTATTAGTTTCAGGATCTTTGATCTGTTCAAAGTGCTCCCACACTATGGATCTAGACTCTATTTCCTTCCTTTTCTTAACAGCAGGAACTTTAGGAGTGGTCATAGGCTGTTGAGCACTTGTCTCAATGCCTGGGGTTTGTACTCCTTGTTCATCCACTGTTGAAGATGGAAGAGGTCCAGTTCCACTTCCACTTATATTTTGATTGCTCTCCATCTATAAAGATTTATGGATGAGCAAATAGGATTCAAATTTCACACAAGCACACATAAGGCCATACACTGTCACAGTGATATGTATTCCATAATCAGGATTCATGATTCATGAACTCCTCATTTTATGGAGTCCTGATTTTAGGACTTAATTACATATAAGTATATAACACATTAACAAATTCATTCCATAATCAGGAGTCATGATTCATGAATCATGAACTCCTCATTTTATGGAGTCCTGATTTTAGGACTTAATTACATATAAGTATATAACACATTAACAAATTCATTCCATAATCAGGAGTCATGATTCATGAATCATGAACTCATCATTTTATGGAAATGGCCACAAATTAGGGCTTAACACTTCCACAGTCAACCATCAACCCATCAACAATTCAAGTATTCAACAACATTCAACAGTATTACAATTTACAAATTCAGTATGCTTCCAGCATGGACATCATAAATTCATAAGCACAAATTCATAATATCAATTACAAATTCAGTAGGCTTCCACAGTTCCACACTTCCACCACCACCATACATTTTGAAATAACAAATTTAAGGGTCCTTTAACCATAAACTTACAAACACATATCAGAATAAGCACAAATTCATCACATATCACTATATCAGAATAAGCACAAATTCATCACGTATGTGGAAACCCCTTAAAATTAGGGTTCAATTACAAATTAGGGTGCATGCAACATCATAGAACTAGAACAGAACAGACAAACTCACAAACATGCAACAGGAAAATAAGAAAAAAATGACAGAGTTACATTTTACTTGTTTTCTCAAAGGTTCCCTCTGAGATCTAGGGCTTCAAGGCGTCAAACTTCCACTTCCACTGTCGTCCGGCTTCTTCCTTCTTGCCGTCTTTCCAGTTTGCACAGAGCCACAGACACTTCCACAAGATTCCCGTCGAACTGTCGAAGACTCGAAGCCTCGAAGGAGTCGAAGGGGAGTTCAGAACCACAGATACTCTCAGACTCTCAGTTGAGACTCAGAGTTCAGACTTCAGAAAATCAGAGATTCACCGGAGAAGGAGATTAAGGAAGAAGATTAGATGAGAAGGACTGAAGATCGGATGGGGATGGCTAGAGGAGAGTAGGAGACTAAGGAGATTTCGAGAAGAAGCTCTGGGGAGTGGGGAGTGGCCGAGTGGATAATGATAGAATGGCAAACCCTAGGTCTACGCAACGTTTTATACTTAGGCCAAATTTCGGATCTCGGACGGGTTCGGATGGGATATTTCCTAACCCTACCCGTCCGTCTTTAATAGCCACGTTGCGTGGGATCGGTTCGGATATGACCCGAACACGTCGGGTTTCATCTCCGTTCGGTAAGCGCTGGTTCGGGTCGGGCGGGTTCTTCGGGTAGTTCGGGTATTGCACAACCCTAATTACAAAGGGTGTGCGTTAAAGTAATTTGTAAGTACGTTATGAATGAAATAGATGGTATGACAGGGTACTTGGTTTGTGAATGAGTGGTGGTATGTGCGTTAGTTGTTGTCCGCCAGTGCGTTATGAAAAAAGAGAGCGTTAGTAGTCGCATGGAACTTAACACAAACAAAGCATAGTATTAGAAACCAATCAATAGGGAAATAAAAATAACCCCACAACTATAGTTAAAACGCTATGGAAAAACAAACATAATAGAGAAAGAATTCTCAAAACGCATTATATATGAATTTAAATTAGTTCATATTACCCTAACTGGACCCGGAACTACGCGGTCAACATCGGGAATGAACGGTCCCACAACCTCTCCCCTACCAAAACCTCCCATTTTGATATCGGATAACTGTCTGGCCTTTAAAGGCCCAAAAGTCCAACCACGCAACGACGGCATGGCTCGGGGCACTGCCCTATCAGAATGCTTCATCGGTTCGACTAAATGCTTGGGAGAAGCACGAATCTTCAGAAGCGGAAATAGTTTTAAATCATCCGTGTCTAGCCCATCATCCTCCTCCTCTTAATTCGTGTCCGGTTGCGGAACAGGGGGCGCTTCAACATCCTCAGACGGCATCAAAGGTGAAACCTCCACTACATCAACCGTATGTATAGCAGTGGCACCTAGACATAACAAAATTGAAGCACTATTAGCAACAAAAGATTCAACAAAACAGTAGAAATTAAAAAACACACTCCTAAACACTTACTTTACCACAGCAACGCATAGACCAGAATTGGGAAATACAAAAAACCGTTATTACGCACAAGCTAACCACTTAGAACGCACCAACCAATTAGCATGCACAGATTTACGCACAAACGTCACCCCAATAACGCACCAACTAATTGCCAGTACAAAATGGTCTACAATATTACAATAACTGAGAATATGACAAGTGCAAACACGCCATTAATTTTAAACACAATAATAGCACGCACAAACGTCACACAAAGAACGCATACACTAATTACTACTTCAACATGTTTTACTATATATAAAAATTTAAAAAAAAAAAAAAGCAGAAAATATTAATTATTATACACAAATTGCTTCACCAAAATTGAATGACCCAAAATTATTTTAAATGCAACATAATATGATAATGATGGTTTTAAAACTATTAATAGGAATATAGAATTTATAAATTATAAAAATTTGTAAATGACTGAACCAAAAAAAAAAAACTATATATATATATATATATATATATATATTAACGTACTAATTATAATTAATTATTAATTATTATAATTAATATGACAATAATTATTATAATTAATGGGTACATATTTAATCGCAAGAATAAAGACATTCTGTTAATACACACGAATTTTTTGAGACATAATGCACCAGCTGATATTGTAGAACGCACCAACCAATTTTAAACACAAGAATATTACGCACAAACGTCAAACAAAGAACGCACACACTAATTACTACTCCAACATGTTTTCCTACATATAAAAATATTTTTTAAAAACAAACAGTAAATATTAATTATTACGTACAGATTACTTCACCAAAATTGAGTCAACCACAAGACCCCTGAAACCCCCACGCGAACCCCCCTACCCCCACACACGCCGGAACCGGCGACATGCACAAACCCGGAAACGGAATACGAAAATACCTGGAGTAGAACCAGCCGACCTGCCCTTCCTACGCTTACAATTCCTGGAAGACGAACCCGCCATGTGAGTCGACTTGGACGACTGGTGGGAGACCGAAAACGCAGAGGAGAAGATAATATTGAACGCCGGATAAGAAAGCAATTGGGGGTTGAAGAAACTCTTCGACATAATCGACAGAGAGAGAAGAAGAGTAAAAGTCACGGCTTCTCTCTCCAATATTTGAACCGATTTCCACCCAAAAATAATGCTGCCCAATCCCAAAAATTAAGGCTCCAGAAATAAATACATAATTAAAAGACACAATTGACCCTAATTTCTAAAAAAATGACCAGCTAATGTGATCCAAAACCCCAATCTGAACCGTTAAAAAATACAAAATAAACGAACCAGATGTCGTCTCACCATCTAATCAAATAAAGGGTCTCACAGGATTCATTATATATATATATATATATATATATATATATATATATATATATATATATATATATATATATATACACACACACACACACACACACACACACACACACACACACACACACACACAAATCCCCAGGTACAAATGTGCACTTTGCAATACTATCAAATGTATTCATTGACATTTACAGGTGCACTCAAAATTTGTGACTCTGATCTAAAAGTAAATCATTCAAAACTACATGTGCATTCAATGATAAGTAAACTACACTGAGTACACTCAAAACAGTTGCACTTGTACATAGAACATTTTTTTTGAAAGCAAAGCTAAGCTTCATTCAAGAAAAATCACTGGCTAAAACAGACACAAAAAGAGAGGAGGAGTGATATGCCAATCTCTACAGCCTTACAAAGAACGAGCCTCTCTAACAACAACATGAGCAACACCATTCGCAGACTACTTAACACAAGAGAATCACATACTACCAAATGTAGCTCCCAGCTCTGATCTTTTACATCATCTACAATTAGACCAAACACGTTGCCCTCCAAAACACCACGAAGACTTATACATATAACATAACACACTTAGTATGCAATGTTACGTTGCAAAGTGTACTTAAAGTTTGAGATAATTATCAAAATATTATCGTGTTTTTCGACAATTATAATGAACTGAGAGTTTTTTTCTAGGCATCGATTCACACTTGAACATGTCTATATATATATATATATATATATATATATATATATATATATATATATATATATATATATATTATTGTTTACTTGGAGTGCATCAAATTATAGGTTAATTAATTGTATTTGAAGTGAGATCGATTTGTATTGGAGAAGTGGGATTTGCATTGCGCAAGTGTAGGTAGCATTATCTCATTTTGATTAGCTGTGTTCTTACTTCACCTTGATCTTAGGCTACCCAACACTACGTACACGTACTTGCCCATTTGTAAGCTTAATTATTTCATTTAAAAAATTGCACCAAACATATCGGTAGCCCTTATTAGTGCTCTAAATTGATGTTCGTACGTGACTCAACACTCCATTATTGTCCATTAAATTAGCCCAACAAACTAAATCAATAATTAGTTAAATTAAATAACAGTTAATCTAGGTCACATGAACTTGGTGTAATTCGCACTCAAAAGCATCACATGAAGTCCAGAAAGGATAGAGATTTTATGGTGTATAAGGTCAACAAACAAGACAACCTTGTGCTGTTCTTCATGTCCTACAATATTTTTGTTTTAAAAAAACAGCTTTGAAACCTGTTCCTCTGATTATTATTTAAATAATACAGTTTAATTAATTACAATCTCAGAACCATATGCTTCTGTGATTATTTGGACGCATTGACTTGTCCTCATCACCAAGCATATAGTATAAATTACTCCATTCATTACATACACATACAACACCCATTATTAAACAAAAACAACCAAGAGAAAAAAAAGAGTAAAATGTCACTTTTAATTCGTCAATTGTGACAGTAGTATAAATTTAACAAGAGTTAATAGTAGCTGGGTCCTCCGATGATAGCATTGTCACATTTAGTTATAAACTTTCAATTGGTCCTACAACTTTTAAAATTTTAAGCATCCTTGATCCTAACTTTTCCTTTAAATTAATGGAAGGACCACATATGGTTAAATTTGAATGTTAAAGGACAACGGATAGTTAAATTAAAAGTTTAGGACTAAACGTGACGGTGTGACTATACTCAAAGGACCTTAACTGGTATTAACTCAAATTTAACATGAGTTATTTGCAATTGTATATAATCCCTAGGTTCTTAGAGAAACGACGAATTTGGTCTTTTGATGGGTTTCGCTACAATTCGTAGGGACCAAATTAAATTTGTCACTTTTTAAGAATTTAAGATTAAATCTACATTGTGAATAATTACTCATGAACTAAGGGTGTGTTTGGTTGGTGGATTTTGCCCATAGGAATGGATATGAAAATGATTGTTGTTATTTAGTTGATAGGTTTTTAGAACGCTACTATGAGTTTCGAATATCCCATCAATTGAAAAACTCATACCCAAATAAAATAAGGGTTTCATTCATTTATTCATTCTCAAGCACTACTATTAGTAATCATTCTCATTTCATCCTACTACCAAACATGTGAAATACTTACTCATTACCATTACCAAGTATTTGATACTCATTCCGATTCCTATGTGACAACTAAACACCTTAAATTTACATAACATGCACACAATCAAAGGGGTAAAAGTGTCATTTTTTCAACTAAATATAAACGGAAAAAAAAAAAAAAAAAGCTGCATCACTTCCTAATTTTGGAGAAAATTATTAATTATTATTACAATAACATACACAGAAAATTAATTGGCTAAGTCCATACTGAGTGAATAGTCTTTCGACCAATCATAAAATATTGAACATAGCAAGCAACTCATTTGGCTTGTCTTGTGAAGTGTGAACCGGGCTTACCCAATAACCTTCTGATCTGTAGGAGAACGTAACAACGGCTGGCCCGCTTTCACCGCCGCGATCTGCGGCTGAGAAGATCGTAATCTCTTGATCTTGGAAGATGAACAATGGATTCCGAGACGGCGCAAGTAGTTTTACAAGAAGCCGCAGCGTATAAGCCCATGAATCCGAAACGATCGCTTAAACTTTTTGTGACGATCTTGGAGGAGCTCTTGTGACGCTCCTCCTTGGAGCACTCCACGAGCGCCGCGAAGAACGGGTCCTCCCGGAAGCTACCTCCGCCGGATTTTCTGGGGGAGAATTCGTCGCGAAAGCTCTGTTTCCCGGCGGGAGGAGGCAACGGAAGAAGGGAGCGTTCGTCGCTGATTTTGTTGGAATGCTTGGGAATGCCGGGGATTTTTTCCCAGGAAAATGGGACGCCCATGAATTGTAGGGGTGACCTAGGACACATTGGGGTGTGATGATCGCCGCGGAAGGAGAGTGACGATGTGAATGATGAGTTTGAAGAGAGTGACGGTGAGGAGGAGGAGAACGATTGGCTCCGGCGGCGAGATGCCGTCATATCACCGTGAATAAAATGTTGGTCGCCGCCGCTATGGCGCGGCTGCTGTGGTGGTGGTGGTGGCGTAGAAGTCATTGCTTTTTGAGAACTGAAAGAGAGAGAGAGAGAGAGAGAGAGAGAGAGAGAGAGAGAGAGAGAAATGAGAACGTAGAGTCAAGCCAGAGAGTGCAATTATCTCATTCATTTCCTTTCCTTCTCACTCTCTATATATATTGGTGAACTTTCTTATTTTTATTAAGTTCATTTTAGTGAATATATTAAACTTTTTTTTTGGGGGGGGGGGGGGGGGGGGGGGGTTATTAGTGGAGATTGTACATATCTTTGCAATCAATATTAAATTATAGAGTCACTCCCTTGTGTGAGATCGTAAACTAAACAGGAATGAAGTATTTGTTACTTTTGAGGAAAATTGTAATATTTTTGAGAAAAAATGTAATATTTTTTTAAAAAATGTTTGTGTTTTATAATGTTTATTAGTATTACATTGTTCAGTATAAATATTATATTTTTTTCATCTTGATTCGACACGTCTTATATGGACAAGAATCTGGTTTGACGGTTTCACATAAGTTTATTTTTGCCTAAATTATAAGAATGATGAATATTAAAAATAAAAAGTAATTGTAATGTGATTCATCTTATATTTTAACAATTAAATCAATTTTTTTCAATTTCATCAAATTGTAATATGTAGCATGTCGCTTATTATATATTTAGTATTTGACAATATTATGATTGATATCCTAGAAGTTTTCATACAAGAAAAGAGAATATTTTAAGCACATATGATTTTTTTTTCATTTTATAAAATAATTAATATAATCAAAATAGCCCAATTTTTCTATTTTTAAAAAGAATCATGATAATAAAAAAAATTAAAAATTGAGTAACGATATTCACTCCAAAATTTTCTCATCCTAATATTCGTCATTAGTTAATTATTTATATTAATTGTTCATTACAAGTTGGTGAGTCCTGTCAATTTATGAACACTCAATGATTATAAATGTTATGAGGTAAAAATTTATGAAGGGTTAAAAATGATTTTTCTTTAAAATTTCTTATTACATTTATAGAGGTCGCTAGTTATCAAGAAAGTTTAAACTTTTCTTTAATAATGGGTAGTCAAATCTCATTTCTAAAGTAATTGAAAATGTGTACAAATTTTTTTTTCCTTTGACGTAGTATCATTTATTTTCCTTTATTATTGTACGTAACAAGACCATAAGCCATATTCGATAATAAGAAAATAAATCGTTAAAAAGTTTATAAAAACATCAAAACTTAATGGCTTTATTTTCTTTGTAAATCGTTCTCAATATACATATTTTGTAAAAATTACTTCTCAAAAAATTTAATCAATTAGAAAATTGTAGAAAAATTAAAACGGCTAAACAACTAGTAATTATAGATCTCACCAGCAAGTAAAAAACACAAAACACCCCATAACAGTACCTACAATTCGATCAGCGAGGGAATTACTGTATTCGACAGTAAAAATTAAACCCTGAACTAGAAAAAAAAAAAAAACAAACAAACAAAAAAAAAAAAACACAAAACACGACATTCAATATAATGGGACATGAATCCATTTATGTTTAGAAATTTCCATCAAGCTATCTAGTCATGTCTAAGAGGGCATTGGTGGAGAGTAGTGACGAAACTAATTAACAAACAAAACGACCCCATCACATTATGACAAATATGGAGGATTTAGGTAAGGAAAAACCAAGGCTAATATTGGTAATATACTTTTAAGAGTGTGTTTGTTATGTGGTTACGTATGGAACATATTCGGGGTCGTACAACCCGCCCCATTGGGTCAAACATTTTATTATTATTTTAATATATTTATATATTAATATATAATTTTGGATGGAAGAGAACACTTCTGCATTTCTGTTATTTGTCTCTTTCTCATTAAAGATGGATAAATGGGATCTTATACTCTTTAGGTAGATGGCTAAGTTTTTGTTGTAATTAGTAGTGGTATTTGTTTTTGTTTTATAATAGGTGGCTATATATTTTTTTAAAAAAATTATTTTTGCTATATTAGAAAAGTATTAAGATCTTTATTTGTTACCAACCATATATTATTCTGAAATATTATTTAGATAAAAATAATAAAGAATTTTACTATAAATTATTTGAGTAGTAAGTAGTGTGCTCATTGTTTTAATTAAAAAAGATTAGTTTGTTTAAACAATGAGTACTTACTATTAAAATAGAGCTTGTAAATAATAAATAAATATATGTGTTGTTATCATATTAAATAATATGATTTCCTTAAACTTTTTAATTTCCATAAAGAATAAGAAAATATAAAATTTGGTGTACAATGCATAACGGTGAAGTTATCACTTTATAACGATTTCAATAGGGTGGTGGCGGAATACATTAAAAATAAAATTATATTTAGTGAAATATGTCTATTTATTTTTCATATCACAAAATATAATACAGGTTAGGAACATTGTATAGTATTTACATTTTGATGATATCAGCAGACTAGAAAATTAGGTCTCTTCTTACGCTCTGACCCGAGTAGCATTCCGCCAGTTTTTGGCGACTTTCACTTTCAACCCGATTCACCGACGAAGGCCTATTTAGCACGTTTCCAAAGGTAACCAGTTACTTTTGGAAATGCTACTAAGGACCTCGAGTCCTGTCATAATCGCGCACTCGACGAAAGAGCACTTCTTATGGAAAACGAGTTATTCAAAGAGTTCACTTTGCGTTTCAAGGCCTAGCGAGCGCTCGCTATCTAGCTGGAAAAGATGGTCCGGAAGCTTTCTCTCTCCCAGTCATCTAATCACCACGATGAGGCCGGTCTCCCTTTTAGTAGACTCAGCTATGAATATTCATGAATAAATGAATGTCGGGCTCTTTCTTTCACTGCTAACCCCAAGAAGTTTCTTAATGCTGATACTTTCTGTTTCGTCAAGCCCCGAGCTTGTGGTCCTCTCTTCATTGTAACATCCAAAAGGTTACTCTTAGAAACGAATTTTAATACTATACAAAGAAGAATATGCAAAGATTATTAGGAGTCTAATGTTTCTGATGAATTATACTAGACTTGATATTGCGTTTGCAGTAAACAAGTTCAGTCGATATACACACAACCCAAGTGGTACACACTGGAATGTGTTAAAACGAGTGCTTCGGTACCTGAGAGGCACCGTAGACTAGGGACTTGACTATGTAGGGTTCCCAGCGGTGATGGAAGGGTTTTGTGATGCAAACTGGATGAATGACAGTGAAAATGTCAATTCGATAAGTGGATATGTGTTCACTATGTGTAGGACTGTTGTATCGTAGTAATCAACGAAACAGCCATGTATTGCTAGATAAACTATGGAAGCAGAGTTCATAGCGCTTGATGATCTGGCTAGCCAAGAGGCTGAGTGACTAAGAAATTTGTTGGCAAACGTGCCATTGTGGGGGTATCCAACACTTTCTATGCCTATACATTGTGATTCCCAAACCGTTATTTGTGTTGGAGAAAATAGTGTCTACAATGGGAAAAGAAGACACATACGAGTCAGACATGAGCCTGTACGACAATTAATGCTAAATGGGGTTATCACAATGAAGTTTGAGAGGAATGTTGCAGATCCTCTCACAAAAGCCTTAAATCGAAATGTCATCCTTGAAACATCAAGGGAAATGGGTTTAAAACCCAATGAGGTGAGGAATTCATGATGGATACCACTTTGGTGGTCAAATGAAATCATTGAAAGACTTACACCAAAGTTATGGAAATAAATGGCCATGACTTACTCTGTAGCCTTCTGCAGGTGGTCTATGTTGAGATAGACTTATATAGTTAAGAGTCTATATAGAGTTAGACTTAATAGGGATTCATAAATAGTCAAAGTGTTTGACTGTGTAGAACCTTCAACTATTAAGAGTTGACGTGATCACTTGAGTTCAAAATTTTACTAACCTGTAAGTTCAAGAGACATCTCACTTCCAAGGAAAAAATTATTCAGTGTTATCACATGTCAATTCAAGCCACTTTCACTGACATTAAAATCAACTCTTGTGTTTTGCTCAGACTTTATCTATTCTACCTTACTCCTTTAAATATGTGGGGGATTGTTGGGAAACATTTAAAGGTGAAAGGCCTCTTTTGTCTTTGCTTGTTGTCCCACATTGCTTGTCTAACTCCCCTTTACCTTCTTTATAAGGCTTAATACTTTCTAAGGGATTTGAAGATTTATGAAGATGAAATAAAAGGGAACCACGCGCGCGCTGCTGCCCGCCTACTTGGCTCGGTTCAAGCATGCGAGGTGTGGTGTGATCACCACCTTGAATGTGCCCATGTTCTGTTCTCCTCTTTGTGTTAGCTTCTGAGTACTGGTTCTATGGTTTTATGTTTGCATGTTGAAAGCATACGATACCCTGGTCATGAAATGCTTTTAGTTCAGTGTTCCTCCTAACACATCACAGAACAATACTTCGCATTCTTCATTACCATATTTTTAGCCTACATAAAAAGCACATATGTGCGACATTGTTGTCTTGCTACCAGTTTCTGAACGTTGGTATACAACACTTACAATTCAGCGATGGGATTAATCACTATGTCCGATAGTGGAAACCATGGGCTACACCTAAAAAAAAAAATATTATTTCTATATCTTCATAAAAACAAATCATGGACACCCTAATAGATTTTTTTTAAAAAAATTTGAAAATATATCAATATGGGTGTCGTTTAAAATATTTTAATTTGAGCTTTTTTAATGATAAATTTTTTATACACTAATTTTATTTATACAAAAAGAAAAAGGAGTAATATTTGGTGGAAAAAATCTTCTCTCTAAAATTTCTCTCGTGGCTCCTATCTGATTTGGTAAGTTACCGATGATCCATCGTTCATGGAGTTTCCTTCCATGGACACCGCGGTTGGCGAACCACCGCTGACCTCATCTCCGGTGGTGGAAGGGGAAGCGAGAAGGACTTCACATGCGGGCAAGAGGATCAAAATCCTCAAGCGATCTTTTGCTGATACCACATCAGCCCCATCCATGCTCGAGGATGATACCATGTCGGACGAGATTGACGCCGAT